GTTCAACATTCTTCCTATGTCAGTTCTCTTCTAAATAACATTTGACTCCAATTCTACAACTTCTAAATGCTTAAAGAAAGTTGGAGACATCACATATTCCCTCTGCCCGATTAAATGTGGAAGTGTGTAACTGGGCACAAAATAATAAAAATTAAAGAAGCCTTTTGACATGTAAGCAAAAGACACCAAAATAAAATTATGAAGATCCAGAATTCCAAAATTTTCTGACAGCCTAAATCTAAGGTGGATTTTTTGCTTTTATCATTTTCCTTATTCTAATCTTTATTCTTCAGTTCACTTTCCAAGAAACACAATCTTGATTCTTAACAAATCACGAAGTTACTCTGAAGAAATGTTACCAGCCTCAACAAAAAAAAAAAGTTACTCTGAAGAAAGTGAATTATCCATAACACATCAATCATCATCCGTACTATAGGTATCTTCTCTATATTTCTAAGGGGGAGGAGGCATATTTTTCATAAGTGAACAAAACATTTTGTTTTATTAATATAAGCAGCCAAGCACAAAGCGCTGGACAGTACAAAAAAAAGTCATTTCCCAGCAACAAAAGTGTGAGAAATATAGGAAAAGAATATTATTGAATTGTTGTTGTTTACATTATTACATTGAGACCCTATTTATAGACCCTAGAATACAATCCTTTACCAAGTAGGATACTATTTAGTATTCCTATTTCTATTTCTATTTCTATTCCTATTCCTGTTCTAATAGGATTGTATAAACTTATTCTTATTCTAATAGGATTGTATAAATCTATTCCTATTCTAACACTCCCCCTCAAGTTAGTGCATACAATTCATGTACCTAGCTTGTTACAAATGTAATTAACACGAGGACCGATGAGGGACTTGGTGAGATATCTGCAAGTTGATCACTCGACTTCACAAATTTGACAATCAATCTCAATGGGCTTGGTCTTCTCATGAAATACTGAATTTGATGCATAATGCCGATAAAACAGAGAGTGATAAAATTACAGTGTTGAACTTCCCAAACCAAGCTTGCAAAAACTATTTCAGACCATAGAGTGACTTACATAATCAACATACAAGGCTACTAAACTCCCCCTGAGCAACAAATTAGGTGGTTGCTCCATATAGACTTCTTCACAATGCAACGGTCGCCGGAAGTGCTCAAAATCTAGTATAAAGTGTATGGATCATGTTGGAATCAATAGACGTCTCAATATTTAACAAGAAAGTCACCGAAAAATTGGCTGGAACATGCTCATATGCCGGAGTATTGATTTGATGGATAAAAGTGGTCACAATCTAAGAAATAAAATTATATGGGTAGGGTCGGAATGATGTCACGACCCAACTAGAAAATAGAAATTATATAGGATAGTTCGAATTGATGGAACGACCCCATTGAAAAAGAGAAATAATATGGGTAGGGTCGGAATGATGGCACGACCCTACTGAAAAAGAAAAATAATATGGGTAGGATTGGAATGATGGCACAACCCTACGCAAATCTGATTTGAGGAGTCACCGGAAAGACGAATGGGAATACGCAAATCAAATCTGAGTAGTTACTGAAAAGACACACGGTGCTATGCAACTCAGATATGAGAAAGTAGTTCGGAAAAAAACCCACGGTACTACGCAAATTAAATATGAAAAGTAGTCCAGAGAGATGCACGGTGCTACGCAAATAAAATATGCAAAAAAAAAGGTAGTCACCAGAAGAATGGCATGGTGCTACACAAATTAAATATGAAAAAGTAGTCACCGAAATGATGGCACGGTGCTACACAAATTAAATATGAAAAAGTAGTCACCGGAATGATGGCACGGTGCTACACAAATTAAATATGAAAAAGTAGTCACCGAAATGATGGCACGGTGCTACACAAATTAAATATAAGAAAGTAGTCACCGGAATGATGGCACAGTGCTACACAAATTAGATATGAGAAAATAGTCACCAGAAAGATACATGGTGACCCAACTTTTGCTAACATAATCATTGGCCGGACGGGCGGCATATATGAGTAATAGCCGCCCGCCGACAGTGGAAGCTCTTTGATTGTTTACCAAGATCGTAGAGGCTCTGATACCATGTGAGAAATATAGGAAAAGAATATTATTGAATTGTTGTTGTTTACATTATTACATTGAGACCCTATTTATAGACCCTAGAATACAATCCTTTACCAAGTAGGATACTATTTAGTATTCCTATTTCTATTTCTATTTCTATTCCTATTCCTGTTCTAATAGGATTGTATAAACTTATTCTTATTCTAATAGGATTGTATAAATCTATTCCTATTCTAACAAAAAGATTGCCAATTGCCTAGTTATAACCCTGTTCAAACTGAAGAAAATCTATGAAACCTATCAAAAAATCTAGATTTCATACATGGTTGATTCATTCTACATCTTGAATTTTTCTGGAGTATTTTCCTATATGGCATGTGCAGCTTTTAATGAGTAGTAGAAATGGATATCATCACCAGACATATATTTTATGTACTACCTTCATTATGTTTAAATTTTGCATAGAGTTCACTATATTATACAAAATTCATATGGCATTTTGACGAGTTCTAATTTAACAGCTATAATTTCTTCCCTACGCATTCACCATATTATCAATCCCCTTCTTGTAATTCCTCAATGACAACACCATACAAGGATTTCGTTTTTTTTGATTGGTGACAAAACCATACAACCATCTAATCATATACTATAACCAAAAGACTTACATACCCTGCATTGTGTCCCGAATTAACTTATTAGTAGAAAAAAGCTGTACCTTAACGAATCATGCTATATATACTTGATATAGCCTCTGTACCTCCCAATATGGTTTGCCTACACTCTACCCTCCCCGATCTCACTCGTGGGGTTACACTCGGTATGTTGTTTGTTATTTTAAATAAGACAGGATGAGAAGTTGAATTAAAATTCCCCACTTTAACTTAATTCAGGGAAACAAACATAATTTATCAACAAGCGTAAAAAAAGTAATCATGTAGATATATATGAATATGTGGGAAAACACACCGTGAACAGTTTGATAACCATGAGGATAGTATTGAGGAGGAGCGCCGGCAGCACCAGGCGGAGGAACGGGCTGAGGAAAACCGAACACTTGATGAGACTGTGGAGGAGGAGGCGGATGATTGGCTACTCCTTGAAATGTACCGTAGTAATAGTTTGCCGGCAAGGGTTCGCCGGTGGCCGAAGAGGCCCTATTCTTCCCGTCTTCTTTGCTCATACTTCCCCTGATAGAGATCGAGTAACAGTTTAGGGTTTCGGGATTGAGTGGAAGTCGTAATGTTTCTGACGCCGATTGTCAGAATCAGATCGGCGCGGCTACGTGATCGGCGATTTCGCGGTCTTCGGTTTCTCTTGGGGGTAAGATGTGCTGCTGGTTTTGTCAATTTGTTTTTCGGCTTCGCTTAGCTGGTAAGTTTCACGCCAACACGTGGATATAAAAATTAATTTTGGATAAAAGTAAGAAGACCAGAATAAAAAATTAAATAAAAGAAAAGAAAAAAAACATATTTTTAATTTCAAATATTTATTTTTTACCCCATCTCACCCCTACCCCCGCCAGCCCCACCCACTCCCCTACCCCAAAAAAAAATTAAATTTATTTTAAAAAATATTTTCAATTTCAATTCAAAAATTATTTTCTACTCTCTAGTAAAAAAAGAGATATTTTCTCAACAATAATTTTCATTCATAAATCAAACATTAAAAAATCTTTTTCGAAAAATATTTTCCACTCACCAACCAAATATGAGAAAATAAGTCAAAAATCTACTTGTTTTTCAGGAAAACATTTTTCTTCATACCAAACACACCCTAAAGGGAAAAGGGTCAGAAATGTCCTTAAACTTTGCGAAAGGAACAAAAATGTCCTCCGTTTATAGTTTGGTCCAAAAATGCCCTTGCCATCAATATTTTGGTCCGAAAATGCCCTTATTGTTATTTAATGGGTCAAAAATGTTCATTTTCTAAATAAAATATATTATTTATTTTCTTTTTTAATACATTCTTTTTCTAATAATATTTTTTAAATTGGCAAATATATATCTTACTTCAATTAAGAAAAAAATAAAAAATGAAAATATTTCTTATTTTATTATAATTATTTTTTATGATGGATATATTATGATCTTATATATATGGCATATATTATCTGTCGAAAGGGTACATGAAGTTATTTTATTTTAATTGATAAAATGAGATTAAGAAGAAGAAAAATAAATCCTACATTTTTATTTGTTAAAGTGATTTTAAAAGAAAAACAAAATAAGAATCTTTAATAATATGTTAATTAGGAAGAAGATATGTTTAAAAAGAAAAAATAATATATTTATTCAGAAAAGGGCATTTTTGACTCATTTAGTAACTATAGGGGCATTTCTGACCAAAGTATTGACTGTAAGGGTATTTTTGAACCAAAATATTAACGGCAATGACATTTTTGAGCCAAACTATAAACAGATGATATTTTTGTTCCTTTCACATAATTTAAGAGCACTTTTTTTTACCCTTTTTCCTACATTAAATGCCCTTATAATATGACTCAATTGCAAAAACACTTGTGGGAAAAGGAACAAAAATTGAGTGAAGAGAACACAATGGGAGATTTTATGAAGCAAAACTTTCTTTAGTGCATAGCCAGGGCCCAGGTTCATGATTGCGGATTGTGCAAACCAACTTATCCTGATGACATATTGAAACGTGGTAGAAGAGGATAGCTCAACGAAGGAAGCTAAGTAAGGGCGCTACAAAAACACAAAGGAAAGGCATGCTTCAGGATCGAACAACTAAAGTCGAATCAGAATATTCGGCCACAAACCCACAATTGTTTAATCAAGTACTTGTAAATCAAAACAATGTGCAATTGATATTAGTTGACAATCTGATCAACAAAGTAGTCAGATGAATTAAACTCATCTTCTTCTTTAATACAAACATCTGAGAAACCAGGAACTACATACATTGTGGATTCCAAACTAAAAAGATGTCAAAAGTTTTTCATGTCATCTCTAAGGATAGCAAAAGGGGAAGCAGAAACTTCTTTCATGCAATCCTAGTAGCCAAGTCAACCTGTTGGGGATCGTCGGTGGAAATGATCTTCAAATTTATGCCAGCCCTGCATTATCAAGAAAAAGAATGCAAGTGAGTTCTCCAAATATCTTTCAAAGCCAACAATCCCTCGCACCACTCATTTCTACTCCGAACATGCTCCTCAGAGACCCATGGACCAAATAGCTAAGAATATTATGTCTAAAACAAAGTCCCAACCAACCAAGGAGAAAAGACAGTGGACAGGAAGCAAAAAGAGAGTTTCTAAGCTAAGGAAAAACAAAGCTTGAAATTCAAGATCAAAAGCCCCAAAGATGCAACTTGAAGTAGCAAATGATTAAATGAAGAGGAGATCCTTTCTACGAGGAGAGGATTCTAGAGAAAGTTTCTAAGCTATGGAAAAACAAAGCTCGAAAGTCAAGCTGAAAATCCCCAGAGATGCAACTCGAGTCTTGTAGTAGCAAATAATCAAATGAAGAGGAGATCTTTTCTACAAAGAGAGGACCTCTTATACTGGCTGTCAAACTAATGTCTTTGAGCATCCAAAAATTTAAGATACGGATGTCTCACACTCCATTTGAGATAGAGGGTGCACACACACCGAATATGGTAGAAATGAAATAAGTAGCTAACCCTTTCATTGAATATAATCTTTAGTTCAACATTAACATCTATATGATTAATAACACCCATACTTGTATATACAAGTATAAAAGTTCATGAATCAAGAAATGAGATACAAATTTAAGAACACTTGCCAGAAACAAGAAAAAGAACATCTGAAAGCAGAAAAGCACTGGCTCAGTTGAACAGATAGGTACAGAATTGTTGGACTTGGTTCTATCAGTTTTTTTCTTTTGAAGCCTTGACTTAGTTAGGCAATACAATCCACATGAATTATTTCAGTGAAACTTATGTTTTTCTGCTCTTTCTTTCAAATACATAATGGTTAAAATGCTTATGGAACCAACTACCTCAGAGTCCTACAGCATCGGCAAATAGAAATTTTAACACACAAACTTCAAGGATCTAACAATCATATTATGTCTATACCTTGTTGCTTATTGACCGCACCACAACTGATGCTCTAAACAACAGAACACCACAGCAGCAATTCACAAGCATCTCCACTAATTGCTTAGAATTATGTAAACAAATCGTAGAGTGAGTTCACATAGAAAATTAAATCATAGTCTATCTGCTTAGTTTCACCAGGTGCCCGTAACATATATATATGCACAACATGATAAACAAAGCACAACAACATCTCAAAGAGGGAGTTAACAATCAGCACAAAGCAAGCATATAGTAACTTAAAATGTAATTGAGAAGACAGAGATTTCATCACCGCACTTTAGGAGGTTTTCACGTGCTACTTTATCTCTAGCAGTTTGCTTCTCAACTGGTAGCATCCCTCCAATTAGAACTAGGCTCTCTGAATAGTTGAAAATCACGGATGAACCTCTCTTAGCGTTATCGATGCACAATTTTGCCTTAACAGAACTAGTCACAGGATCAAAGAGTAACAACACGCCATTTTCATCCTCAGCTACAATGTCACCATTCCTCAAACAGCCAATAATTCTGTCAAACCCGAACACCAGTCCGACATTGCATTTCTTACTCCAACCATCTTCATCGTCCATTACCCAAACATCAACGTTATATTTGTCTGTTTTCACCCAGATTAACATACCAACGGAATCCTCCAAATTGACAAGCTGCCACTGAGTTCCCACTGTTATTCCTGGCATAGGTAACCTCTTAAATACTTTCCTATCCACATCAAAATACACCAACACCTCACGTAACCCATACTCATCCTCTACTAGAGCAGTCCAATAGGGTACCCCTTTAATGATCACATTGCAACAGGGCCCAAGAACTCTAAACCCCACCACATTTTTCACCTGCTTCCAACAGAAACTCTTTGTCGAACACATTTCCACTTCATCCGGAACCCTAGATCCTACCCTGAAACACAAAAGACTTAAGATAATGAAATCATTCTCTTGTGAATCGTACGCCAACCCAATGGATACACCAGAGTGCACTCCCATTAGGGGTTTCTTCTTCGAAAGCTGCACCGCCCTACACTTCCTCATCATTGGATTCCAAAGAGTGATTACATCACCCCAAGGTGGCTTACAAAGGCAAACAATGCCATTGCATGAACCCACAACGGCCATCTCGTGAAAGAAGAAAGGAAAAGGATTATCGAGTTCGGTAACTGATGATTCCGGCGAGTCGAATAGTGAGAGTACATGATCGGTGGACTTGACATGGCGGGTGTGTATAAGAATGGGAGAATTAGTGGGCTGCAAAGAAGAGGAACGGTGTAAATGGGTGTCTATGAAGTTGGGTTTGGAAATGAGGTTCCGCCATGGCTTGCAAACACACCTGAATCGTAAAAGGGTCTTGACAGGGAGACGAGAAAGGATGTTAGAGATGATTTCTCTACGGAAAATGCAGTCGGATGTTGGGTCCGGAGGTTTGCTCTTTGTTTTCTTGGAATTCCCTTTCCCTTTCCCTTTCCTTTTCCCATTTCCTTTGCCTTTAGCTGCCATCTTTGCTAGAAAGGTGAAGACGAGAAAGGGATTTGTGAATCGACAAAGACAATTTTGGGGATGCTGACAGCTTTAGCTTTTGACTCTTGGCAGAGGGAAAAAAGTTGGCCAATTAAAAATTCCCAAGGTTATGGAACTGAAATTATGACGTGGATGTGTGCACATACTAGAACAAATAAGATTAGAAATAATGACACTAGAGATAAGTAGGGGTGATTTTTGTAAATAAGATTAGAAATAATGACACTAGAGATAAGTAGGGGTGATTTTTGTGGTGGATAAAATAAAGGTAATCAGACTAAGATAATTTGGACATGTGAAAAGGCTTGATTATAGAGTAGTTCAAATTGGCGATAGTGGGTTCGAGGGGTAGACACATATCGAAGAAGTATTGAGGACATGTGATTTTAAACTAGATATAACATCTTCAGGAGGATAGGGCCATAGATATGAGGATTTAGAGGTCACTAACTTAAATAGAAAGTTAGTAAATAGTTGATCATTGTCTCGCTTTCTTGAGATTTAGACTTGGTGGTTGTTTGGCACTCGTTCATGTTTCTCCTTTAATACAAGTAGTTTTGATAGTTTTTGTGTTCGGAAAAGGGTCAAAATTGCCCCCGAACTATATGAAATAGACCATTTATATCCTTCGTTACATTTTGGGATAAAAAATGCCCCTGCTGTTATCCTAAGAGACCACAAATACCCTCAAGAGTTAACACCCTAAACTTTTATTGACGTGGCAAGCCACGTATGACTAATCCTTCCACCTAAGCGTTGCCAAGTAGGATTCACTACAAAAGAACTAGACTTTTAGCGGCAACAACACTCGCCACAAAAGCCCAGAAAATCGTCACTAAAAGTTTTTAACATTAAATTCTAATTTTGTGTTTTTTTCTTCATTGTTTTTAAAAAACCAAATATGATATCGATTAAGTAGGAGTTTGAAGACACTATATGTTTTATTTTTATGTCATATGTAAATGTATAAAATATACAATGATGCATTATATATATATATATAGTAGGAGATTTGAATCAAGAAGTAATTTTGATTATTTTTCGTAATAATATTGGATGTTTTTATTATGGATATTGCAAGTTATTTATTTTAGAAAATTAGGTCGCAATCGAAAATTAATTATCATATTTTTTTGTTGAAAAAATAGGTTTTACTAGCGAATGGTTGTTGGAGCCTTAGTCGCCACTAAAAGTCAAGTTCTTTTGTAGTGAATCTTAGTTGGCAATGCTTAGGTGGAGGGATTAGTCTCATGTGGCTTGCCACATCACTAAAAAATTGGGGTGTTAACTCTTGAGGGTATTTGTGGTCTCCTGGGATAACTGCGGGGGTATTTTTGATCCCAAAATGTAATGGAGGGTATAAGTGGTCTATTTCGCATAATTCAGGGGCAATTTTGACCCTTTTCCATTTTGTGTTTTATGTTGCTATCGATTGTGTCTTGTGTTTTGATTTTCATATTAGTTTCTTGTTGTTAATGCTTCTTTTCCTGGTATGTTATATGATGCTTACTCAAATAAGTAGTACTTGTTAACCTATTTTCTTCCGTATGATTTTTTATAAGCGTTACTTGAGCCAATAGGACTAGACTATATATGTCATTATTGTTTTCACTCATCAAGTATTTATTAGTCATTTAGGTCAGTATAATTTAAATCATGGATGATAATAAAATTTTAAAAATAAAGTTCAGATATTAGAAGTAACGAAATATCTAATTAGGGTAATTTCTTATACTAAAATAATATTAAGTAATATAATATTGTTGAATATTTTCAAATAAAATCGATAGAAGGGGACAAGGCAATCACGATTCACCTGTCCATTTTCCTAAACCAGGTTTCCCAGGATATTGGTGTGGCGGTTGTCAAATTAAGATGAAGTTATGATATCCTATTTTATTGCCAGATTCGTTCCAATAAGGAAAGATTCAAAGAGATCGCTTTCAAATAAAATTTTCATGAACCAGAACCGAGTAGGATAAGGGAAATAGGAGATCAAAATGTTTAGAGACTCGACAAACATTTATTTAATGATGTCGTGGATCTTCGTCCTATCCTTGATATTCGATAAGATGTTCATCAGATAATATAAATGAAAGTGCATGCGAAACATTAGGACAAAGAAACCATTTATATATATATATATATAGATGTATTCCTAGAGCATTATGCTAGTTTTCTTTTTAGGTCATTCAGAGCAAAACAGAATCAGATTCTGTTGTAAGCTGATCTATAGGAATAGAATAAGATCAGACATGACTAATTTTGCAAGGGTGAGTGTTCTTTACCAAGATAAAGCACTTGCATTTTGTTATAATATGTATAAGATATGGCAGAAGAATCCATATTAATTCACTGGTATCCGATACCATATACAAATTATATGAAATGCAAAAGTGATTCCCTTTTAGGCGTTGGGAAGTGTATTTTCTTCTCTTTTATGAAGGCTGGTTTGTCATATTTTATTTGCTACATACAACCTCCACCTTATTAAGAAACTCAAGAAAAAAGAAGTGACTAAATGAGAACATATTGGTCCTTCAGAAAGAATTCCATGGAGAGAAACCATTCTTTCCAGTACCATCCCAAGGCCTTCCATGTATTTGGTCCTCGACACATTTCTTCTCCCGGATGGAGAGAACTCATCAGCTCCAGTTGGTTGGTTTCCGTTTATCATTTCATGTCTTTGTTTAGATTTCAATTCCTTGTACTACTTATAATGGTGTATAGAATGTGCAGGAAGAACGAAAGCTACAAAAGAGTAGTGATGGCCTGTTTTGTACAATCAGCATACTTGCTTGAACTAGACAGACAAGAAAATAGGTATGGCCTAGAAACTGCCCTTGCACCACAGTGGTGGACACCCTTTAAGTACAAACTGGTTGAACCCCTTGTAGATGAAAGAGATGGTTCGATATTTGCTGCAGTTTTGGAGTGGGATCAAGCAGCAGCCCTGGCTGATTTTATACCAATAAGACCAACTGGTGCACCAAAAGTGGTATTAGCCATCAGAGGAACACTCTTGAAGAACCCCACAATAAGGAGAGACATCGAGGATGATCTACGTTACTTAGCATGGGAAAGTCTCAAGGGATCCTTCAGATTTGAAAGACTCTTATCGGCTCTAAAATCAATCATCTTCAACCAGCAAGGGAGCAAAAATGTGTCCATCACAGGGCACTCATTAGGAGCTGGTTTTGCTCTCGAGGTATACAAGGCGTTAGCTGCTGAAGGAACTTATGTAGAAGCACATCTTTTCAATCCACCATCTGTTTCATTGGCCATGAGTTATAGAATCTTGAGTGGAAAAGCTGGATTTGTGTGGAAAAGGTTCAAATCAATGCTTCCTTCAAACTCAGAGTATCAAAGCAAGAGCATCGCGGAGGATGCAGCTGAATCTACAGAATCAAGAATCACTTCAGAGCTTAAGCAAATGCTGCCTATGCCTCATTTGTATGTTAACACAAGTGACTACATATGCTGCTACTACAATTATCCAGATGGAGTACAAAACAATAGTTTCAATATTGGTAATAAGGAGAAAGAAGTAAAACCTGGTGGAAATGCGCTAACCGGTGTAAAGCTTTTTGTGGTGTCAAAGGCAAAGCAGAGGTTTCTTGAGGCACATAGGCTTAAACAATGGTGGTCTGATGACTTGGAACTTCAAATGGCTCTCAATAACAGCATGCTAATAAGTAGGCAGCTCAACTCCCTGTACACCATTCAAGCTCCAAAACAAACTCAAGGCTAGGCTCAAGTGTACTTGAATTTGGACTGGTAAAAATATTGAAATTTCAAGATAAGAGATTGTAAGTCTTGAGATTCTGCATTTGACTTATGAATGAATTGAGTTACCTAGCTCTTATATAAACATTTGACTTGCTAAAATCAAATTTTCGATCTTGCATATAAATTTGGCTTGTGTTCCAAAATACAGAATTGAACAGCACAACAATTTCTTCTTGTTTGTTGTGGCACAAAAGGCAAATGTATCTTTAATCATGTAAATGCATGTTAAAATTATACATACCTTAATACCAAATAGATTTAAAAAAATGCACGAAACAAAATATTGGTTATATGTAAGATTATGTAACGCTGAAAAATCATATAATTATTCATCCCAACAATATCACAGAATACAGTACAAATTCTGTCTTGTATCCTTCCTTTATTCAGAGCTGATGCCAAAACCTGCAGGTCTCTGTCGAGTCCCCAGTTCTGTCACAAAAGACAAATGCATGCTCTGATTTTCGCAACCCTAAAACCCTTCTTCTTTGTTAAGATTGTTACTGTGATTTCGCAAAAAACCCTTTTTCCTGCTTCTGAGATGCCTCCTAAAGGCAAAGGAAATGGGAAGAAGAAAGGTAAAGGTAAAGGAAAAGGAACTTCAAAAGAACCAAAATGCAGAGCTGCAGCAGAACCAGAACCAACTTCCCACTTCTATTTCCCAAGAGAAATCATCTCTAACATCCTTTCCCGTCTCCCTGTCAAAACCCTTTTACGATTCAGGTGTGTTAGCAAGCAATGGCGAAACCTCATTTCCAAACCCGATTTCATCGCCTCCCATTTCCGTCACTCTTCTTCTTTGCAGTTCTCCGGTTCATCTATTCTTATAGGCAGCCGTCATCACGAGTCTAATCATCATGTAGTCTCACTATACAATCCGCCGGAATCAGTTGTCCAGGTGGACAGCCCCTTCCCCTGTTTCTTCCCCAATATGTACATTGTGGGTCCTTGCAATGGCTTTATCTGCCTTTTTAATCCACCATGGGGTGAACTGATTACCCTTTGGAACCCGGCGATGAGGAAGTATAAGATGGTGGAGCTCACTGATAGCTTGCCCCGTCAGGGACTGCACTTTTTGGCGTCTATTGGAATGGCTTTTGATTTCCAACAAAACGATTTGCTGATCTTGAGAATCTTTTGTGTGGGCATAATGTATGCAGTCCCGAACCATGTTGAGATGTATTCGAGTAAGAGTGGGAAATGGAAGAAGCTGAAAAATGAGATGATTTTTCATATTCTTGAGTTTACTTGCAATGTGATTGTTAAAGGGGTGGCGTATTGGTTGGTTTGTATGCCTGATAAGTTCGGATCGCGTGCTGTGTTTGTGCGATTTGATGTGGGGAAACTAGTGTTTGAGAAGTTACCTTCGATAGGAAGGTGTAAGAAGCATCAATATCTTGTGGAATTGGAGGGTTCTCTTTGTATGTTAGACTGGGATCATAAAGATGATTGTCATATGGATGTTTGGGTAATGGATGATGTAGATGGTTGGAGTAAGAAATACAGTGTTGGACCGTTAGTCGGGTTTGACCTAATATTGGGTTGTTTGAGGAATGGTGACATTGTAGCTAAGAATGAAAATGGAGTGATATTCTTGTGTGATCCCATAACTAGTTCAATCAAGGAAAAATTCAGCTTTGATAATAATAAGGATGGATCATATGTGATTGTTGATTATTCAGAGAGCCTATTTCTGATTGGAGGGATGCTACCTGTTAAGAAGCAAGATGCTCAAGATAAATTGGCGCGCAAAAAAGTCACAAGGTTTGATGATCAATTTATCATTATACTCCAGTTTATGTTACTACATAAGTACATATATTATATATACTTGCTATGTGTAGGTTCTCAGCTCCCACTTTTAGATGTTGTCATTGCTTCATTTTCTTATTTTATGTGCTCGTGAACTTGTTATACAGGAACTCCGGGAACTTAGCACATTAACTCTGATGTGTTAATTACTATGTGAACTAAGTCTACTGATTACTTTAGTTAATTCTGTTCAGTTGGTTGAGATGCTTGTGTATTAGTGCTGCTCTTAGCTTCTTTCAGATTTCTAACCATCTTATTAACCTATAACATAGACCAATTAATTAAAACCAAAAAAAAGAAGAAGAAGAGATGATAGAGAATCCGTTGAGAAGTTAACATGTATCCTAGGTATTCATTCTTACTATAATACTTCCATAATAGCATTAGTGCAAAGGTCCCCAGCAAATGTACTTGTGGTTGTAACAAACTGCTCTGTGAACTAGTCGAGACACATACTGGCTTAGCCAATAGCACTATGTAAGAAAACATTGGTCCAATTCTATTGACCTTTCCTTATAAAAAAATATAGAGTTCTATTGATCTTGCGGAAGAATCTTTGAGATTTAATAAAAAGGGTGAACACATACTGAGAACTGTATTCCCTGGTCTTGGCGCTTTTTAGTTTTTAAGCTGGACTTTGAATCAATAATGATACATGTGAAATACTAACAGAAGAATATATGGAACTTTTGACATATATGGACCTTTGTTCATTTTCATTTTTTTCTTTTGTCATTTGTCATTCTCGAAAACAGAAGAATATATGGAACTTGGAAATCAACATTATGTCATTTTTGTCACAGAAAAAAAAAAGTAATAACATATCGATCCTGTAGAGCTATGATAATTTTCAGCAAGGGAAACTCAGAAAATTTATTAACCTCGACTCCTGAACTGGTTTACTTATCTTCTATGAGACAATTGTTTTTCCCTCCCCTCTTTTTCCCTCCCTCATTACTGATGAAAGTATTAGAATATTTGTTGCCTTTATTCAATTGCTAATTTCCTCCTTTGTTAATTTGTCTATCAATCTTTGAATTACGAATTGACCGGTCATACTTTTGGCATCTGTAGACAATTATTATATACTCTATAGTGTAGACTGTGGAGTGTGTCTGAAGTGAATTAAGTGATATCAAGCACGGCAAGGAAGAGAAGGAGAGCATGGAAGTAGCTCCTTTAGTACTTTGTGGATAATATGGAAAGAGTGTTTGATGGGAGTTGCATTTTTTACTTACAGCTTAGTAGAACATTTTTGTTCTTTGGGTTGGTGTATTTCTAATATTCCAGTTAGTGTTCATGACTGGATACTATTCGTAACAACACAGGCTTTCTTATAGGATTTTTTGTTCTTCGGATATTGTTTAAGTAGTTCAAATATTGCAGTTAGTGTAGACTGTAGATGCTAATAGTAAAGAAACATGCTTTCTTGTAGGATTTCTACCTTTTGCATACATCTTAAATGTTGAATTTTCACATTACATCGATAAACTTTAACTCATTTTGAGAAACTTACAAAGTTTGTTTTTGTTTGATGATGTAGGGATTGCTTAAAGTTCTTGATGGGACAACCCTCAGAAATCATCATACCTTGATTGCTTGCTCCTTTTTGGCTAACCAGTAACCTCAGAGATGGCATGAAGAACTTTTTGTTGTCTTTAGTTTTTTGGTGAATTCATGTTTGTGGTATAATACTTTTTTGAGTTCTCTTTCGATTCGTAACATCTATTTTTATGTTGCCTTTCTTCTTCACCCAATGTTTGCCCTGTACTTGGTATTTTTTTTGCATATGTGAACTGGTCTCACTGTGTCAACGATGATTTGTTCATGTGTATTGGGTAAAGGTGTTTAATTAATATGTGAAGAGGGAGGGAGTATGACTTATTTACTCAAGTTTAGACAAAGATTACATTAATTTGGTTATCCTAATCTCATTTTTGGCAAGTAGCATGAGATAAAATGATTTTGATTGAAAAATTAGCAAGTTCTTTTTTGGTCCAGGTGAGCGACAAGCTACAAGAAGTTGTGTGTACCCTAGAAAGATCTCTTAGTTGTCCAGGATAGATCCAATCAGTCTCAAAAGTATCATCACGTCAACTTAATTTATCTGTCGAACTATTCAGGACTATGATTTAGTAAAGGGGAAGGGATATTCTTTCTTCCTCCTTCACCTCTTCGAAAATGGATATCATTCTTTTATGTTGCATTAGTCCTATTACAAGTGCAAATAATAAAAAGACCTCTTATGTTTTTTCTCTTTTTAGTTTTGTTGATTAAAAAAGAATCTTAGATATTACTGGAACTAAGGTCGTCCCAACCCAACCTGTTATTGGGATAGGATTGGAATAGAATTTTTCAAGTCCATTTAAAACTAAGAGCCTGTTTGGATGGGCTTTTAAGCTGGTCAAACTGGCTTAAAAGTCAGTTTTTGACTTATTAGAGTGTTTGATAATTATCAAAGTGACTTATTTTAAGTCAAAAATGACTTATTTTAAGCCAAAAGCTAAAAGCTAGGGAAGGGGAGCTTCTTTTCTTTTTTTTTTAACTTAAAAGCCCTTTTATGTTGACCAAGTATATTACCTTTTTGCCCTTAATTCTTTTATACAATTTCCAAATTGCCCATATTGAATTATTATTATTATTATTTTATTATTATATATTTTTTATTTTATTGTTATTATTATTTTATTATTATCATTATTATTATTATTATTATTTTGTTATTATCATTATTATTATTATTATTATTTTATTATTATCATTATTATTATTATTATTTTTTTATTATTATCATTATTATTTTATTATTATATATTTTTTATTTTATTATTATTATTATTATTTTATTATTATCATTATTATTATCATTATTATCATTATTATTATTATTTTATTATTATCATTATTATCATTATTATTATTATTTTATTATTATTATTATCATTATTATTATTATTTTATTATAATTATTATTATTATTTTATTATTATCATTATTTTTTATTATTATTATTTTATTATTATTATTATTATTTTATTATTATTATTATTTTATTATTATCATTATTATTATTATTATTTTATTATATTATTATATTATTATTATTATTATTATTATTATTATTATTAGTCCTCTTATAAATAATTTATGGTGGTAAAGAAATATGTGAATGATAGGAAAATATTATTACTTATGGATGTAAAATATAAATTAATTTTGTTTTAATTTTTTTTAAAGTATAAAAACCTTAAATTAATCAACTTTTCATCATGTTAACAACTTAAAGGGTATTTTAGACATTTTGATAAAAGCAAGTGTTTACCAGCACTTATTTGCCAAACACATCAACAACTTTTTTTTCACCTGCAACACTTTTATCCAAACACATAACTACTTATTTTTAAAATAAGTTACAGCACTTTGAAAAGTTACTTTTTAAAAGTTACTTTTTTTAAGTCAATCCAAACGAGCTCTAAGACTTAAAAGCCCGATCCATATAGGCCCTTGGTCCTTGAGGCTTGATCGGGGCCGGGTTGGTCCATGGGCCAAAACTCTTTATTTAAGGATAACTTACAATAATCTCACTAGTATATAATCTAATTACTTAAATACATGCTATGTTGTAATATTATAAATCTTACCAGATTTTGGTACGTTCAGATACATATATCTCGAAATATATGGACTCAAAATTAAGTTAATTTGTTCTAGATACACTATATCCAAGTAGATTCGCATGTATCTAGGATACATAGACAAATCTCGCGCCCTCGCCTCCCTCCCATCTTGCTTGTCACTGTCTTATCTCGCTCGCGTATCTGGTATGCGAGATACATGTTAATTACAGTAGTTTTTTGCTAGTGTTATTGAAACAACAACATTGTTTGTCATATTTGATTTTAAAATCTTCTCATTTTCTTGATGCTATAGAATTATAAGTTTGAAAAAGAAAAAAGAAGGGCTAGCCCGCCCTAGCCCTCGGCCCTTCTAGGGTTGGGTTGAGCATTTTCAGGCCCTACCAAATGAAGGGCCGGCCAACCCTAGCCCTTCAAATCCTTGGCCCGCGAGGCTTGGGCCGGCCTTTTTTGACAGTTTTAAGTCTGGAACCAATCTAAAATTTAAAAAGGTTCATTTCTAGTATGATAGATTATTTTGTAAAAAAAATTATTATCCATCTAATTTAATTGTTAATTTATTAAATTAATTATCAACAAATGAAAAGCAATAAATCATTTAATATGAGACGGAATGAGCGAATAATTATGTAACTTGTCACTATTTGACTAACTAAAATATTATTATTCCTTTAAAACTATATATATATATATATATATATATATATATATATATATATATTGTACTCCTTCCAAAATATTTGTTACAGAATCAAATGATATGAATTTTGACCAACACTTTTAAGATGTGGTTTTCTATCATAATTTTTAATATTTAAATTTTAAGTATTAAAATATTGAATTAATCTAATTTAATTTAACATTCAAAATTAGTTAAATTAACTATGGAGATAACTATTTTGTTTTTATATATCACCTGTTTTTAGAGTAATATTTTTTAAAAAGGATAAAATTTGTGTAATATTTTTAAAAATTGATCTATTTTAATTAATTAGATGTAACATATTTGTTATAATATATTAACTTGAATATTTTTGTTAATTTTTTATTTTCTTTAATATGAATAGTCTTTTTGAATTAAGAATCTGAAAGTAATATCTATTTTTATATTGATACGTTTTCATGTGACATGTTTTGGATGAAAGCCCAAAAAGTTAGTTTATATATAGGTCAAAGTCATCTCCGTCCCCTCAAAGTTGTCTTCATTATTCGTTTAGACACCTCAACTACACCTAGTACCTATTGAACACCTCTACCACCCCAGATTTGAACCGTCTAAGCATTTTTTTCCTACATGGCAAATCGTTTGTGATTCACGCAAATGGGGCACGTGAATTGTTTTTTCTCCCATTTTTTACCCTGCATTTAAGACATCCAACGTTAAAATTTTAACTTGGATATAAAATCCCCAATTCTTCTTCCCCCAAATCCATTTTAGAACCTTAAATCCCCAATTCTCTCTTTTTTCTCTAAATATCCAACGTTTCTCTCTTCTAAATCAAGTCATTTTCTTTTATCAAATATCGCAAAGTTCAGTGAATATCGAGGAAATCGATGTATGTAAGTGTGGTTATTATTGTCGACTGAAAACTTCGAGGACTCCATTGAACCCAAGTCGTCGATTTTTTGGATGCAAAGCATCAAAGGTTTGTAATTATTCGAACAAAAACTAATGTTATTGTATTAATTGAAAAATCAACATGTTTGTATATTTATTACTATTATGTGGTTTGTAGGAAAATGGTGGATGTGGCTATTTTAGATGGATTGATCCCTCACTTGAAAATGCTGATGAATCATCCTTAATGAATAGATTCATAGATGGTCAAAATCCGATTGATCGACTAAAGAGAAAAGTGAAAGAGCTTGAAGAAGAAAGGTATTCTTTGAAATTTCAATTGAATGAAAATGAAGAGAAGACAATGGTATTGAACAAGAAGCTCAAGCAAGTTAAACTCCAAAGGGATTGGGAAAATGTCAAATTTAACCGAGTTGTGATTGTTTTTCTTTGTCTGCTAACTATAAAATGGTTCTTTAATATTGTGTAGTTCAAGATTGTAGTACTTAATTGTTTTGTTTTGCAGTAGTTAGGAGGCTATTCTAGATCAATTAGTGTTGTACTTAATTGTTTAATTTTGCAGTAGTTAGGAGGTATTCTAGATCAATTAGTGTTGTACTTAATTGGTCTGCTAAGTTCATATTTTGTATCAAATTGGAAGCTTGAATGTGAATTGATCAGTGTCGAATTGATCAGTGTCTCTTTTGTAACTTCCAGTGTGAATTGATCAATGTCTCTTATGTTGATCAAATATATTATCTTTTTGCCCTTAATTCTTTTATACAATTTCCAAATTGCCCATATTGAATTATTATTATTATTATTATTATTATATATATATATATTTTTTTAATTATTATTATTATCATCATTATTATTATTATTATTATTATTATTTTATTATTATCATTATTATTATTATTATTATTATTTTATTATTATTTTATTATTATTATTATTTTATTATTATCATTATTATTATTATTATTTTATTATTATTATTTTATTATAATTATTATTATTATTTTATTATATTATTATTATATTATTATTACTCCCTCCGTCCCATTTTATGTGGCACCATTTCCTTTTTGGTCAGTCCCAAAAAGAATGTCACATTTCCTTATATGGTAAGTATTTAAAGATACAATTCCTCTTTTACCCTTTTAGGTCCCACTTAATCTTAAAATAATACTCCAATACATTTATGAGGAGAGAGAAAAGTGAGTCTACATTTTAAAGGGCAATTTGATAAATATTTCAAAGTCTTCATTTATTTCTTAAACTCCGTGCCCAGTCAAATGTTGCCACATAAAATGGGACGGAGGGAGTATTATTATTATTCCTCTTATAAATAATTTATGGTGTTAAAGAAATATGTGAATGATAGGAAAATATTATTACTTATGGATGTAAAATATAAATTAATTTTGTTTTAATTTTTTTTAAAGTATAAAAACCTTAAATTAATCAATTTTTCATCATGTTAACAACTTAAAGGGTATTTCAGACATTTTGATAAAAAAAGTGTTTACCAACACTTATTTGCCAAACACATCAACAACTTTTTTTTTCAACTGCAACACTTTTATCCAAACACATAACTACTTATTTTAAAAATAAGTTACAGCACTTTGAAAAGTTACTTTTTTTAAGTCAATCCAAAC